CGGGCTAAGCAGGAAAAAAATCAAATATGAACAAGACGATTTGTGTCCCCCCAAAAATGTATCTAGATGTCTATAAGGAAGAAATTGGTACCTAAAGAATAATGCTTCTTTTACAAGAAAGTAGTGTATATGAAATAAAGTCCAGAAAAAAAAAACAAATATTGCAAATAATTCTGAAAAGAGAGAAGTAGTTTTTGGGTTCATTCTTTTTGTTCTTAGTAGTTGCCGTAATTGTTCCCCTATCAGGATATAAGAGGGTTCACTGGCAATACTGCGCCAATTTTGCAGATAACTTGAGTTCACGTCCTCCCTTATTGCAGCTGCAAGCAGACGCTTTCATTCTCACTGCTCCTCTCTCTCTCTCTCTCTCTCTCTCTCTCTCTCTCTCTCTCTCTCTCTCTCTCTCTCTCTCTCGTCGACTACTACTTCAACTCGACTCCGACGGACTTTGACTACGACTGTTTGTTTTCGCATAAACACGCGCTTAAATAAACGCGGTGATAGTGAAAAAAAACTCGGGGTGTTGCTAACTTAGAATTCAATCTGACTTCTCACACTTCTCGATGAAATGAACAGTCTCTTCCTCCCAACTGGTACTCCATAGTTCATATAAGCACTGTTGTTTTGACATTTTATATTACTAATTCTGACGAAGCACAGATTCTCTGGGCACAAACTCCACAGATTATTTTTCTCATCTATAAAGAGAATTCTATATTACTATAATTAGTAATAATTCAAGGGTGACTATTGTTCTCTGCCACAGTACCAGCTGATCCATCCCATCTAAATATGCCTCAACACTCTTCTATCACTAACAAACAGGAAATTACAGAAGAAAGAAGCCTAACTGACAGGAAATGCCGGTAATGGTAAAACACTACCTGATAAACATAGAATGAAAACTGCATTGAAATATGTCCGTCATCCGATGCGGTAAAACACTGCCTGATCTGGTAAACACAACATAAACACTGCAGGAAAAAACATGTTTTCTTTTTTCTTTTTCTTTTTTATAAGATTTACTGTCAGCTTGCTTTTTACATACAGCAGTGGGTCGGGGACACTAAAATCAAGCAGGTACAGACTTCTAAATATCTGGGAAGTGTTCTGACAGAAGACGGAAAGTGCAACACTGAGATCCGAAGGCCTCCTGGGTATGGCGATTAACTAAATCCACGTCCTGGTTAAGACGATAAACTACGTCCAATAACAAGGCGTCTGCTCAAGAGGTTTTGAGAAGTGTTGAACCACGTCTTAATTGCTGGTGTTCCTAGGTCCACACTGACCCGGGTTGTAGCACCTGTTAGGGTCCCACCAATGGGCAAATAGTTAACCCCCAAACTGGGGTCAAAAACACAATAAACTTGTAAAAATAGGTTCCAATATATCAGTAATATATTTTTGAGGGAAAAAAATGTTACCAGCAATACAGTTTTGAGGAAAAAATATGACCAGCAATAAAGATTTTGGCGGAATTAAATAACCTATTGAGGTTGATATGCCGTAAAACAAAACAAACAGGACAAAGATGCCTTCCAAAAGCTAAGCAAAGTATTACGAAACAGGAAAATTTCGTTGGAAACAAAGAAAAATGTACTGAACCGTTTCGTGATATCTGCCCGCCTGTATGGCAGCGAATGCTGGGAAATCTCCTCAAAGATGAAGAAGAGACTCAAAGCAAAAGAAATGTGACTCTACAGAAGGATGCTGAGGATACCATGGGCCGAAAATATGAGGGGCGAAGAGGATTTGGTGAGAATGGAAACAAAGTGGAAACTTATACTTAACACCAGAAAGAGGCAGTTGAAATTTCTGGGGGACGTAATGAGGAAAGGGGGCTTGGAAAATCTGATACTCACAAGACGGATAGGGGGACAGGGAAAAGAAACACGTGACGTATTTAATGGACTTGAGCAAGTGGATGGTGGGACAGGGTCTGGGAGAAATAACCAAAAGGCAAAACTTATTAAAAGCTACAAGAGACGGGAGGAGGTGGAGTGCCATGATCACCTACGTCCTGAAGGGACACGGCATATAAAAGAAAAATGCAATAGTACTTTTGTAATGAGCGATTTTTGATTGATTCGTTTCTTTTGCAGGTTATTTAAAGCCAGAAAATAAGTTTTAGACCGTTTTTTTTTAAACAATAAAGCTTTAAGTGATACAAGTTTTTACTAATACACCCCTTGCGTGCTAGTGGCTTCCCGCCTTGGTTGGGGTGAAATGCTTAAAAAAAATAAAAATAACCCATAGCTGGGGAGGAGAAGAATTGGTTTCATGCCTTTTTCGCGTAAGTAAATATAACGAGCACAAAAGGAATTCGAACACGGCTCTACGATAAACATTTCTGAGCCGTTATCCATCACACCACCCGCACGTCCAAGCCTATAGCACCCGGTATTCCCAAGCGGTCACCCATCTAGCTAATGACCAGGCTCGACGTTGTTTAACTACCGTGATCGTACAGGAGCCGGTGTTTCAACGCGATGTGGCTGTAAGCGATGCAATGAGCGGAGAGCTTTTTTTAAATATGACATATCCTGTGTCTAATGTAACCATGCGTCTTTTTTTTTTACCGTCAAACGGTAAATTTAGCGGTAATATATGTTAAACACAAGTTATAGATTGACATATAAGAACACAGATGTGCTTCTGTGTGGCCGCACACGTCGTTATGCAAAGAATCTCCCCCTTCTCTGTCTCTCTTTCCTTCTTTATCTCTCTCTCTCTATATATATATATATATATATACACACACACTCTCTCTACACACACACACACACACACACACACACACACATATACACACACATATATATATATATATATATATATATATATAATTGTGTGTGTGTGTGTGTGTGTGTGTGTGTTGGGAGGGGAGAACAACATGTGGCTCTTTTTAGAACTCGCAGTAGGAAATCCGATAACACTCAATATTTCATCAGAATAAAATGGTCCATTACTATCCTTAGCTAAAGAGCTCTTAAAGCACTTGAGATATTTCCCGGGCACTTACCCAAGGACATTTTATTTCGTTCTAATTATTTATTTTTTATGAGGCATGTAAAAAAAAAATGCTCCAGGCGTTAGAGTTGAAAACTGTGAACATTTGAAAACCTTTTGTTTATTAATATCCATTTTATTTTATTTCATTTATTTGCTTTTTCTTTGATGCGCGAGGGACATTTTTAAATCGATTTCACCCCATGTAAGGCATTAAAGCCACTAAGACCCAAGGGGTTACAGGGTGTGGAAGAATTAGGAACTGAAACATTAATTATGTGCAGGAAGAGGAAAGAGTAATTAGAAGGACAAGAGATAGCGATTGATATTACATTTAAATTGTTGCAGAATAAAGTAGGCTGGAAAGCATGGAGACGAAAGGAAGTTCCAAAAACAAGGCAGTAAAGCCACTAAGACACAAAGGGGCAACAGGGTGTGGAAGAATTAGGTACAAAACATTAATAATGAACAGGAAGAGAAAAGCGTAATCAGGAGAACAGTAGATAGCGATTGACACTGCATTTAAATTTTTGCAGATTAAAGTTGGCTGGAAAGCATAGAGCTGGAAGGCAGTTCCACAACCGAGAAGTGCGAGAAAAACTGTTAGCACAGGTATTACGGCTACATCTAGCCAGTTCAACTGTAAATCGATGAGATCTCGACGCCAGTCCAGTAGTGTGCTTAAATTTTAAAAAAAGTTTAGGTACTATAGCGAAGAGCCATATTTATTCTGTGAAATACAGAAATATGGTACCAGGCCAAAAAGTAGAGGGATAGGGGAAAAAGACGGTCTTGTTCTGTCTTAACATTAAGCTAAGCTAGGCACGATCACTGACCCAAACATATCAGAATATTCCTTTCACCAAAACCTCGCAGTCTTTCTTGCCATTCTTACCACAGTCACCATAATACCTCATTGTCTCTATGAAAATTCTAACTAGTCCCCATATGTACAATTAATATCTACTGTGACAGTATTTATTGAAAAAACATAGAGAGGCCACCTTACGGCGGTGGGAATGTGAATGTGGGAATGCGAGCTGCCAGATCAGGATCAATAATATTGCTGATTCTTATTCGGATTTTATCAAGGAGCTCAAGGTAAATAGCAAGGGCACTGGACCATATGTGGCAGCAGTATTCTAAGTAGGGACGAATGGTAAACTTACAGACATGATTTCCATAGACAAAGTAATTTTACTCAAAATTTTCCCTCAAAAAATGCATCATAGGTTGGAACGATGCTATATTTTAAAACGTCCTTCACATATCAATATAAGGCCATATCTCGTCGAAACGTCGGTTTCCTTTCCGATCACCGAAATGAACTGACGTCGAGCCTGATCAGTACCTAGATGAGTGACCGCTTAGAAATTCCAGGTGCTTTAAGCTTGGGTGTGCAGTTGGTGTAATGGATAATGGCTCGGAATTGTTATTCGGAGAGCGGAGTTCGAATTCCTGTTGGGTTCGTTATATTCACTTACGCACCAATTGTTGTTCATGATGACGGTCGTCTTTGAGTATAGAATCCAGAGGTTAGCTGTGAATATTTCGAAGACAGTAGGGAAGCGTTGTTCAGGTTAACAGTGGATATCCCGGTAAAGTAGCAGAGCGTAGTTCTTCCTTCTGTTCTTTCGCCTGACAAGTTGGCACTGGACACTCGGATAGAGTAAACAAAATGGCCGCCTTCATACACGACGGATTGAATATTCTACGTCTTCTGATTGGTTAACCTTCTATTGGTGGACAATAAAGTGAGTCAAGTCATTTGGGCTAGCTCACTAGTACATATATATATATATATACAAAAAAAACTGCAACACCAATACCCATTAGACGTGGGGAAATGTACCATTCACCTCTTCTCCTTCCAGCTGTGGGATCAGAAAAATATTATCACATAGAACAAAAATCTTACAATCAAAAAATATTTTCTGGCTTTAAATAACCTACAAAATAAAAATAAAATATCAGTCGACCATAAAGCGATAGCTAGCAGATAGTTCTTCAGTCTAAAGAATGCTGGACTCTGTTTAGTAGCCTTGATTTGGAGACTTGCTCCAACGCTAATATATTTGGGGACACTTGCCATTGTCTCCATTGTTCAAATGTTTCCATTGTTCAAATATGATTTTATTCTATTCGAGTCTTGTGACAGACTAGACTAATTATCAAGTAACAAAGATATCTCTTCGCGGCTACATCATTTTGTTTTACTGTTGTTCCCTTAATATAAGGCCCAAGAGCAACTCAATGTAGAGAGTTATTAAATAAGTTTGTTGTAAGACTTAAAACAGCAAAGGAACAAGAGGTGCGTATTATGTAGGATAGATAAAGATTGAGCCTTAACTGGAAGAGGTTAAGTTTGTAGTGATCGGGTAAGTATCCACGCGGGAGTCCGTTTCAGAATGCAACAGTTTTGGGGAAGAAGCTGCCTCGAGTGGAAATAGAGACAATAAATTATGGTACTTTAACAAGAAGACGGTTCCAACATGAAGACATGCTTTTAAAAAAAAGAATTAACGAAACGCAATTATCAGAAGAAAAAATAAATCTTTTAAACTAATGAAACGCGGACTAGCTTTTTACATTCTTCTCAGTGATGTCTATTCTGTGGTTATAGAAAGTTTCTGGCCCCCTTGACATCAGACTTTCTTTTCCGTCGGTCCAGCCGAGAGCAATCATTCCTCGATTAGCATTTTGGTACAGTAGCGTGGGGCCTTAGGATTTATCCTTGACAGGAAGATTAATGAAGGATGATAATAGCGAGGAAACATACGGGTATTTTTAAAAAAACAAAAAAAAAACAAGATAAGGATTCAAGAATTTACACGCTTGAAGTAGTGTCAATAGTTCGTTTTCAGCAAAATAAATCAGAATTCTTAAAATCCGTAGTTGTCATGAAGAGGAAATGTTCATACAACAGGTTAAATGATCTAACACAAAATAATATTCGAAAATGTTTAAAAGGTAAGAGAGTTCGTTGTTCATCGAAGGGATAAACTGTTGCATACCTTCAAAAGTAGATGAAGAGAGACATTTTAAAATACTTAGCGTTCTTAGATTGCTGACAGAGAATTCTTTGAAGGAATTGCTGCCTAGAGGCCGATAATATAATTTGTGAGTAATTTTACGCTGGCGAGCACTTCAACGCTGATTGCGAGGAACTGAAACAAAAATGTGTGCATGACTTCAGACACTCTCCTCTTACTAATTTAATGTTCCTCATCGTTTTATATCAGAAAGAATTTCGCATGGGTTCGCTAATTTCTTTCCTTCTTCTTGTCTGACTGGTTAATTTCTGTGATGGCAAGGTTTTCATTGTCATAAAGAAACGTCCACATTCCTTTCCCTCTTCCTCAGCCGTCCGAATTTGAAGGGAGTAGGTTATTGTTATTTCGTACTCACTATACTGGCATAGCTTCCGCATGATTGCAAGAATTGTAAACAATATTTGTGCCTGTGCTAATGAGACCTTTTTATTCAATCCTGTGTAGGAATTCTGACCAATCGGGATTTGTTTAATTTTTTGACTATTGATTTTTCAACCAATCAGAATATCAAATATTTTAATAATCTTTTAAATTTTTCCTCTAGAAATTATGGAAGCATCATGGCGCTACAAAAAGACATATTTTAACAAGTTATTGCACTTGCGAGAAGATAAATGATGAAAACAAAGATCCGAGGAAGGAGTCGGTTCGTCCTGAAAAGAAAGGAATTTAAATTTTGACGTCGTAATGGTACTACATGAACATATTCTTAATGAAGTAAAGAGAAAATGGAAACAAAAAGGAAACTAATACTTAACATCAGGAAGAGACAGCTGAGGTTACTGGGATACATAATGAGGAAGGAGGGCTTGGAAAATCTGATACACACAGGACAGATTGAGGGCAAGCAGGACAAAGGAAAACGTAGCTTGAGTAAATGGATGGCGAAATAGAGCTTAGAAGAAATGAAAGAAATACAAAGTTTATTAAGAGCTACAGGGGACAGGAAGTTGTGGAGAGCCATAATTGCCTACGTCCTGAGGGGACATGGCACATAAAGAAGAAGAATATATAATAGATTTTGGTACTTCAACATCTTTTATTTGTTATATTTTATTTGAAATGAATTTAAATTTTGACATCATAATGGTACCACATGAACATATTTTTAATGAAATAATGGCAACACAGTTAAAATTATGGAAATTCAAGTATCACAAAAATTAAAACTTTTAAAATGGTGATGATATGGAATTGCTGGACAGAGGGCTTCTTAGACTGGAGTCAACAGAAAGTTCCTCCAATGGAATCAATGGCCATATGTCCAAGACCGAGGGGAAATTGGCTGTGGTGGCAAATAACCTGCAAAAGGTTGATAAGCCATAAAAAACACAATCAATTAAAAGCAAGAACATTATTGTTATATTTTATTTGAAGTGAATTTAAATTTTGATGATATAATGTTACTACATGAACATATTCTTTTATGGAATTATGC